TGTCTCCCTTCAGAAGACACGGGCAGGCGTGCTAGGTGTGCATCTGCAGAGGCCAGGTCTCGGGAGCCATGGAGAAGTAGGAGCGTACGAAAACCATGCAGGGCTGTAACTGTCAGTGTTACCTTGGTCTCTGTTCATCGAGTGGGGCTGATGTAGATGGGATTGGAGAGGGAGGCAGGGATGAGGGCAAAACTAGACGCCCCAATGGAGCTCTGTGTAGTGATAGTTCTTGCTTGGCTTTATTAGTTTGCGGAGGAATCGTCCAGGAGCCCTAGCCAGACAAGAATATTGCAGAAGTGGACCTGAGTTGTCTGGACATCCTTCTAAGGAGACATGAATAGTCCTCATGTTTCTGCCTTCTGCATCGCTGGCTGTGAGTAATAGTTGAGTGCTTTGAATTCCTCATCTGTAGTCGCTGTAGTTTTCTTCACAGGCCGTGTGCTTCCTCGTTGGATATGAGGCTCTGGGATTAAGGCTGGGGAAGGGACAAGAGTCTCCTGAATAAAGTGAGTGTTTTGGGTGCCATTACAATGGGTGCCTTCTAGTTGCAGTTGTAACGTAGTAATGGGAGATGGGTTGAGGGCAGAGACGTGGGATGGGGGAGATGTGAAATGAAGAGACTACGCGACATTGCAGACGGAGATGCTAATTTTTTTGTCCCTCTCCCCGCCAGGTTTAGTATCAAGGGAAAAAAAGTCACGCGTCAGAGTCTACTGCCCTCATGTGATGGAAAGCTACCGGGAGCGTCGAAACTCTGAGCATTGTAGATGCCACGCAAAAGCCGTCCATCTGGGAGCCGAGGAGACGCCGCTGTCAGTGAGAGAAGTGTCTGGTTTGGTGAGGGCTCTGCTCATGCGCAACCTGAGTCCAGGTAGGGAAGCCCAGTACGGTAGGGCTGGGGTTGTATGAAAAGGTTCCTGACTAGCTGTGGTCATGAGGGAGAAAAGGTCCCTACTTTGCTCATTTCTCTGGTCAGGAATGGTGTCTCCTCCGCATCAGAAGGTTGCATCCAGGAGGGTGACTCCAGGTGGTGAGTTGCTTGCTTTCCTCCCATGTTTTTATTTCTCTCTTTGTCTGTCTCTCTCTCTCTCGTACTTTGGCCAACACACAGCCTCTATCTCTCCCTCTCTGTCTGTCCTTGCCTTTCCCTGTACTGTCTCCCTTTGTAGGACACAGGCAGGCGTGCTAGGTGTGCATCCCCACAGGCCAGTTCTTGGGAGCCATGGAGAAGTAGGAGGGGAGGAAAATCATGCAGGGCTGTGACTGTCGGTGTTATCTTGGTCTCTTTTCGTCGAGTGGGGCCGAGGTAGATGGGATTGGAGAGGGAGGGCAAGATTTGAAGCACCAATAGAGGTTTGTGTAGTGATGGCTCATGCTTGGCTTTTGCAGCTGCGCTTCCAGAGGAATTTTCCAGGAGCCCTAGCCCGAAGAGAAAGTGGCAGAACTGGACATGAGCAGACTGGACACCCTTGTCAGCAAACATGAACAGACCTCGGCTTTCTGACTCCCGCAAAACTGGCTGTGAGTAAGCGGTCAGTGCTTTGAATTCCTCATCTGTGCTCGCTGTAGTATTCTTCCCAAGCCGTGTGCTTCCTCGTTGGGTACGGGGCTCTGTGAGATTACAGCTGGGGAGGGGCCAGAGTCTGCTGTGCAGAGTGATTATTTCGGGTGCCGTTGCAAGGGGTGCGTTTTAGTTGTAGTGCTAAAGGCCTAATGGGGGAGAGAGTTTGGGGCGGAGCGCCGCTGTGTGGGAGAGGCGAAAAGAATAGCCTATGCGACGCTGCCCACTGAGATAGTAACTTCATTGTTTTTCCTCCTTGTGCTGGGTTTAGTATCAGGAAAAGAAATCGAACGTCAGAGTTTACTCCCCTCGTCGGATGGAAAGCGAGCGAGAACAGTGAGCCCGCAAGCATTGTTGATGCAAGTCAGGAGCCGTCCAGTTGGCAGTGGAGCAGTCGCTATTGTCAGTGAGATAAGTGTCTGGTTTGGTGAGGGCTCTGCGTAGGGCCCCCCTGGTCCAGGTAGGGACACCCCGTTAGCTGGGTCTGGGTTTGTAAGAAATGGTTCCTGACCAGCTGTGGTTATGAGAGAGACAAGGTCCCCATTTTCAGGGACTGCGCATTTCTCTGGCCAGATACAGTGTGTCCTCGGCAGCTGAAGGTTGCATCCAGGAGGATGACTCCAGGTGGTGAGTTGCTTGCCTTCCTCCCATGTCTTTCTATCTGTCTCTCTCTCTTCTCTAGTACGTTGGCCAACACACACCTTCCATCTCTCTATGTCTGTCCTTGCCTTTCCTTGTTCTGCCTCCCTTCGTAGGACACAGGCAGGTGTGCATCCCCAGAGGCCAGGTCTCAGGAGCCATGGAGAAGTTGGAGTGGACGAAAAGGATCCTGGAGGAATCGTCCAGGAGCCCTAGCCGGACAAGAATATGGCAGAAGTGGACCTGAGCAGCCTGGACATCCTTCTAAGGAGACATGAATAGTCCTCATGTTTCTGCCTTCTGCATCGCTGGCTGTGAGTAAGAGGTCAGTGCTTTGAATTCCTCATCTATAGTCGCCGT